CTACTACGAGAGGGACGATCATGGCAACCAGCGTTGTGATCGAAAACATGGCTCCCGACTCAATGCTGTCGAAGCGATACATAAATGCAGTTTTCCGGAACGAGAATACAAATACCTACATGGCAGATGTGATGACACTCAAAGTCTCCTGGCTCTGAGCGCCTCTAAGATCTGTTCGGGTTATCCACCAAATTCGTCCGGCTAGGCAATGGGAAGGTTAAGTATGTGTTGATTAATGCACCGCTGACCGCATTTAAAGGGGAGAACGTACCGGTAAGCAGTGTCAAGAACATATTAAAAGCTGCAACTCCAATCCCATTTCCATTGCTAATCACGCTAAACTTTTGATACAAATACGCATGTCTCGGAATCGAGGTGTTAAATGTAGCAATCCCACCGATGGAGGTGATCACATCAAGGCCTGTTAATAGAAAGAGTACGTCAGCGAGTCAGAGTAATTGAATCGAGTGATTCAAGCGATCACCGTCGAAAACAGCTGCACCCAAGACTAATGGAACGAGCATTTTTTTTCGAAAGCCCCAGCAGGTGTAACACCGATGGATCTGCAATCCTCGGAATTAATACAGCGTGAAGTGGAATAAGCGAGGGTAGGGCGTCCCGTACGAGCATACAGTCCGCGACAATACTGTGAATTGTCATGGTTTCAGCTGACCGACTTGTCATATACATGAAGCACTCACTTCATCAAAACGCCCGTCAGAACCGTCAGGGAGCTTCAAGCACCAAGAGTCAGGTATTACGTGGAAGCGAAATCTACACGGGAACTCACAACTCAACCATAGACTCTACATCATATGTAAGATGCTCATACAGCTTCATATAATCCTTCGTCTTCACCGTCGTGAAGCATAGGATCGCTTGGTGTACGTATTTGGCGGTGACGGTCCCAACGTGAATTGTCGCCATTGTGAATGAGAATATGGTACACGGGAGATACAGCTTGGATACGGTTGTGGGTCTGTCGGGGCGGGCGAGGACCTGAATCGAGACCCCAAAGATGATGATATATATTCCTAAAGGAAGAAAATGAATGAATCTTGGCTCGATTGTAGCTAGTCTTAGCTCTAGGGGACCTACCATATATAAGGAACATAGTCTGCATGAAGGTACAGTAAACCAAGCGAATCGATCACGATAGCTTATAAACACATACCGATAGGGTGCTGATAGGTAAAACAAGCACGGATCCCACGGTCAAGAAGGGGGCGAGCGCCTGTTGATGGTCGAGCTCTTCGGGGGATGACATTGTCGCTTTGTTTGAGGTAGCCTCGCATATTTATTATCACTGTACAGGCTGCGAGTACCTCTTTGTGCACTTGGAGAGGCGCTACGTGAGTCGCCCAAGGAACTCAGAACTGTCAATCAAACTATCATCCCTATCTACTCACTAGCTAGTAGCAAGGGTAAATCCAATCTGTCAACGATAGCTATACAGATTGGAGTCGGGGTGGTAAACGTCCTTTGATACACCGCAACCAGTTGACATACGCCACAAATCACATCCAGCGATAGGAATGGGAGAAGGCAGCTGACCGGCCACGATCAAGGAACGATCACCCGCAAAGATAGGCCAGTCTTCTGACGCCCGAATACAAGAGTGTAGCCTTAGTTCAAGGACAGAACATATCATTCCTGTCATCCCCACTGACGACTGACATATTGGAGTCTCCAGGGACGGGGATTCAAGGTTCATATTCAAGTTCAAATTTTCTCCCGTTTTCTTCGTTTGGATCATCATCGCGTAAACACCGACTAACAATGCAGGATCTTGCGGCTGTAGCGAAGGACCATATTCTCCAACGTTATACTTACTATATCGGCTTCCAAGGTCGGGGTTTTGTGATTCTTCGAACAGTTAGTACTGAAGGATCTCATCCTCTCAGCAGGTATATGTTTGGGACCTGGGCGAGCCGTAGCTCGTGCGTAGCTCATGGAGTGATCAAATTCAAGCCAGGATGATCGATGTCATGGTGCTGGGGGCAGCTACCTGCTACTCATCCTTCTGCTTCGAACTACTTCAATTAGCTTGCCTCAGGCCTTACTCGTCCCATTCCGGGCCAATTATTAATCGAATCGCTCGAGGTCTCTTGCGTATTGAGTGACCAGTTTACCCGAAGGTTCTGGGAAAGGCCATTCATGCACGAAATGAAACAGGACTCGTAACGTACCTCTCTTTGTCATACTGAGACGCGATTTTGATATGCCATGAGATTTGAGATCTAACCCTGCATGTAAGGGTATCGATGAGGTTGTCTACCTAGGTGAGCACACGGTATGGTCGTTTTGTCACGTTCGCATCATCCAATCAACTCTCATTGCGAGGGAGTTTTTCAATCCACAATGAGGGCTTAGATCCAAGCCGCCCAAAGGAAATATTCATACACATGCTCCTCCACTCCTGTCGCATTAAGAGGGAGCCAAACCCCCGGCGAGTCGAATAATCACCTAGACTTCCCGTATGGCAATAACCCAGGTTATCACTACCCTTGATGCCTCCTCGTTTCCGTCGAAAGTCCGCTCGTACCCAGCCTTGGAACACTGGACGTTCATCATACAAGGCAATGAATAACTCAGAACTCGCCCGGTTTCTGTAATCACCGAATTCTTTCGATATCAAGGTGTCACGGTATGAGTAAGTACTGCACGAATGAGTGTCTGTCTTTTACTTGAAGCCAAAGAACGAGGTGGATCGTGGCGTCTTTTAGACTGCCACCAGCTCACGAAGTACAAGAGCAACGCGCGAGAAAACGAGACAGAGGATGAATCAATGATGGGGTCAAACAAGATGGTAAGAAGACGGCCTGGAGGGCGCACAATGGATCAATTGGCTAGCGGCAAGTGAATAATAATAACCGAGTATTCAATGTGATAGAATAATTGAGATTGAGGGATAGTGTATGGTAAATTCTACTCAGCAACTAGGACATTAATGAGTAACAGCGACGACTAGAACAGGAGACCAAATGACAGGAAGAAAGTACTGGGCAGGCGCATCCTAACGGGACAAGGCTTCTATGAGCGATGGTGACGAAGCCAAAGCGGGTGAGAAAATGAATAGAAAAGCTTCTGCGAATGAAGGTAGAGTGCCTCATCATTTACGAAACGCCAACGAGAACGAGAGTGAGTACAGGTCATAGATGTGATCGAAATGCTCATCAATCGATGTTTAGCCGTCAGCCAGGGAAATGGATCCCATCTCAGTACGCGCAGGGAGAGGGGGACGATGGCGTTTGATTGGCCTCGGATTGTACACGGCGACGGCGGTATAAGGGACATCACTACTTGGCTATATACACTGAGAGGGAGGAGTAGGACGGAGAAGCCTACGACGCCCCGAACACGAGAAAAGCAAAAGAGAAACAAATGGGAAGTCCAGCTACGCGTATTACACAGCCACGACAAGGCAGTAAGAGTCGGTGCATCTCCAGGAGTGTGAGAGAAAGATCATTGAATTTCTTGATAATAATGCGTTGAAGTGAATTTTCTGACGCGGATTTTGTGTCGTCGTCCCAGAGAAAGGGTTGCGTCGGCGTTATGTAGCATAGGACAGTTGGACAGTTATAGTAGAAGGCAGAACTCACCATCGATCCCGACCAACCAGTCCCTTGACCCTTCAGTGACACGCTGGACGTTCATCATAGAGATCGTTGTGACCTTCCTGAGGAATATAATTGATCTGTATGCGTATCAGCAAAATTCATAAAAGAATCTCACTTTGTCGGGTCCTGAAGCTGAAGGCCTGAGGATAAAGCGCTAAAGTCTGAGCTACCGGTCGGGCAAGCAACGGTACCGATGTGGGGGAAACTCAACCAGACCAGGGTGGGAACATTCTCCTGCCGAGCGTGACGGTGACGGAGGTTACTCGGACAAGCGCACGGACCAACTTGAGGGGAGGTTAGATCCATTAATACATGATCTCTTCGTATGATCATCCCAAATCTCGAGTTCTACACCTTTTGTGTTTGCGCCATCACCTACTCTAGCTTGCCCTCCTAGTTTTCGTTGGCCTCCCTCGTAGTCTCCACACCCCCTCCCCTCCCTTGTCCCGTTGTTGTTATCCTCTCAACCTTGCTCGCGCATTATGATACCTCGGCGCTCGCATTCAATACAAGTGCTCATTGGTAGAACGATATACCGAAGCAAACATATACTCACTTGTGCGGCAGAAAGTTGAAATCATCCGGCGGACTACAACAAGGAAAGAAAAGAAAAAGTACGATATACCGATCCCATGCATCAAGGGGGAATCAAACCCCCGGCGGGTCGACCGAAGAAGGGGATGGAGACATGGCAACGAATCAGGTTACCACTACCCATTGATGCTTCCTCAAGTAGCACAACTCTACCTTATCAGTATAACTCGGTCGCATGGTTTACCTGTAGCCCCAGGCTGGGATTCCTGACTTGCAAAGCTTGAAACGCATCAAAATAAACGGATCACTCAAAAGTAACCTTGGAGCAACGAAATTAATACGACTAGGCTCGAACTGGGGACATTTTGTGAAATAACCGCTTAAAGACACCGTTGAATGTTAGACAGATGCGATAACCAACTACGCCATCAAACCGTGTGGTTAAGACAACAATCACGAGCCCTATTAGTAGGTTAGATCTTCCCGGCTCCACATGTCTTTCCATTGCCATTGAAAGACACAAAGCGATGACTGCTCCTCACTTCTCCTTCCAATACCAAATAGATGATATGGCTACACAGCTGGACGTCAACATTATTTTTGCACGGAAATATGCGAGAAAAATATGACGAACACGTTATTTCTCTTCTTCATATTCCGCAACAAAATAAGTTTTCGCCCCAGCTGTGGCTACCGTCAGTTTAGATCCGGATATGCACAATAGCCGGTTTCTCCGTCGATGGCAGTACTAATTGTGGAATTTCCTCAAGGCCGTGGGCCAACGCCCCTCATCACTCAGTCGGCTCTGCAAACGGGGTCTTCTGTACTCATTATCTTGAGACGACCACGCACCGGCCGGGGCCACTCTTCTTGAAACTCTATTATTCTTCTCACTACCTTATCTGCATTACTCGTAAAGGGTTCATCAGGAAAACGGTAGGTTTTGCTTAATTGATCTTATGCTTAAATCCACCTGCTTTGGCCTATTTTCGCGAGACGAAATGATCTTGCTCTTTTTTTTTAGCATCTTATGCTGAGAATACCTCGCAGTCCATCTGAGAACCTCTTAAAAATTGTGGACTGCTTGAATATAATTAGTGTATCCGAAGCTGCTTTACCGTGCTCGCTCGATTGCCTGACTTTCAGCCTGGCGTCGGGCTTCGTTGACTTACACCTACATATAAGTACTTACACCCAATTGATACTCACGACTAGCTATCTAGTATACTAGTATAGCATTAGCGTACAACTACATAATCAAGTAGGGACACAAGCCGAACTTGGGGAGATTTTCACTGCCGTCGTTCGTCTTATATGGCACGTGGGCACAACTGAGCAGTTCTACGGGAAAACCCGAGTGGCTTGTCGAACCCGGGTCCCGAGTCCACAATACCGCTGGCTCACGGTCGTTTA